ACTGCCCAGCCTGCCCTCTGATCAGTCTCTCACGTGCCTCTATCTTACTGTGGGAGGGAGAGGTGTGGGTACCTGGAGGAGAAGGCTTGAGTCTTCACGAGTTTCTTAGAGGGCACCTGAGGCCCCCACGCATGATAAGGACTGTGTTACTAAGGTATTAAGGGTCCTGAGCTAGTCTTGTCCCTGATATCACAGGCTCACTGTTCCCCGTAGGCTTTGATCGTGAAGAGTAGCCCAGAACATTCTAGTTGCGAGTGGTTTCTGGAGCCAGACTACCTCAATTTGGATCCCAGCTGAATGACCATGGACAAGTTACTCAGCTTCTCTGGGCCTCAGTGTCCTCTCCTATAAAATGTGGAAAACTACCTCAGCCCAGTTGAAGTTGATAAGATGAAATGTAACAGCAGCTAACTCTCTAGGGCATATATGTGACTCACACTGTACTAAAGACCTGGAAAGATTTGAAAATAGTGCTGGGCACATGAAAAGCATTCGGTCAGGGCTATGTGTTATCCTATGAGGCCTCGTGTTCCACCACCTCTTCAAAGCCCTTTGACCACACTAACCTGAGACCTCGCCTTCCTCTCAGTTCCCAGCACCTCCTCACCCATGCAGGTCACATCACTCTGGGAGCTGCAGCTTTTAAAATTTGTCTCTTCTGTCTTCTGAATTTGTGGTGCCTGAGGGCAGGGCCCAGGCTTTTGGATGTGTTTCCCCCTCTGTGGCTAACACTAGGCTGAGCTGCAGGAGCAGCTGAGTTAGGGAAGCATGGTCCTGCCACGAGCATGGACTGTGCAGTGCTCTGTCCCACAGTCCCGGCTCTGCGTCGCTGACCAGCGCCTTGCTGGGACTCCCTGGCTACTCCCCAGCATTTGTCAGATGCACAGCCATCCGTGCCTGAGAGCTGCTGGTGATCTCCTCCTGCTCCTCCTTAGGGTGGAGTCCATGTCCCTGGCTGACAGAGGGAACCCTGGAAATATTACTTCTCGCTTGGTGGAGAAGGAGAAGGCCAGAGATTGCCTGATTCCTATGGGGTGAGTGTTCACCTGCAGCAGTGTGCCTGTGTCCCTCAGCTCCCTGCTGGCCTGGAGCAGGGCCTCGGGAACTCTGATCATCTTGTGGCTGGTGCTGCCTACCTGGGCCTTCTGCTTTTGCTCTTGGTCTGCTCTGCAGGGACTCAGGATGGGACTTGATGCTGCCCGAGTTCCTTCCCTTTCCTGAGCCCCCAGGTCCTCTCTGTGCCTCTGGGTTTCCAGACACATCCTAACCTGTTACTCCCTCCCTGGGGGGGTTCAGTCACACGAAGGATGATGGCAGCTGCACCCCAAAGCCTTGGAGAGCTAGAAAGATGAATTAAGAAGCTTTGGTTACTGGACATGCTAGTGAGGGAACTTGGGCCCCAGCAGATGCAGTGTGGAAAGCATGTTGGGGGTTTCCTAGCACGTTAGCCCTCCTGCCAGCATCACTGAGCTGGGCCACCCCCAGAGTCCGTGGGCGGGGGGAACCCTGGCTCCACTTGAGGCTCAGAGAGGTCAGTGTCCTGGCTGCCTCCGCACCAGTGGCCATATCTCCAAGAGACACCAGAAGCCCAGGCGGAAGGCCTCGCTGTGGCCCTGGGTTCCCAGGATGAGGGCAGGCTCCACCTACAGTGAGCAGGAAGGTTTGGTGTGATCTTCCCAGAGGGGACTTGCGAGCCCTCATCTCCCACATTGAAGCAGTTTTCCTGAGGAGTAGAAAAAGCTGGCCAAAAGTAGCCAGGTAGTGCCCCTCCCATACCGTCTGCCCCTCTTCTCTTCCGGTCTCTGGTGTATGAGCCTCTGAGAGTCTGGGTGACTCCCTGTCTGTGCCCCTGCACTCCCCGAGTTGTCATTACTGTCTCTAATGACAGCTGCACCGCCTGGCCAGTCCTAGGCTGCCAGACTGCACCCTCTGTTTGCTGTTTGTCTTCTAGGATAACCTCGGAGAATGTAGCCGAGCGGTTTGGCATTTCACGGGAGAAGCAGGATACCTTTGCACTGGCTTCCCAGCAGAAGTGAGTGTTGTTTTGGGTGGAGCGTTTAGAGGCTGACCTAGGTGGTCTTAGGTGAAGCTGCCCTTAGACCAACTACATAGGGCAGCGAGTGGTTCCGAGTCTCGTGCCTCACAGGATGGAGAGGGAAGCAGGGGCCAGGCCACTGTGCATGTTAGCACTTCCATGTCCTGCTACTGTCTGTCCACCCTGAGTATCTGCTTCCTACTGGGCCTCAGTTTCCCCATCTGTTCATTGGGGGTGGGGCTGTAATGAGGGCCAGGACTCTTGTCTAACTGCTGTGGTTTGGTGATTAGACATGGTAGCCACAGGCTCCTCTGGATAGCCTGGAGCGTGGGGTCAGCATTGCTGGGGACCCGGGCATCCCAGCTTCTGGACCACTCCTACATCCGGGGTAGCATCCTGAGGCAGGGGCTGAGGATGACATCAGAGGAACCCCAGGGGCTCAGGCCTCTGGGCAGGAGCAGGCTGAAGTTGGCAAGCCCCAACTGCCCAGGGAGAGGACAGCAAAGTAAGGGAGTCGTATCTGGCCAGGTGGGCTTCTCTGAGGCAGTGGTACTTAGCCACTTGGCGTCAAGTAACCATTTGAGAATTTGGTGAAAGCTATGGATTTCTCCCTTGGGAATGCCCCGGGCACTTACATTTTGTATATGATTGTAAGTATCACCCTAAAATGCCCTGTGGATTTACACTGTTTTAATACTAAGATTCATCAAGTAGTTTAGTATATGTCATTTTACGTAAGTGGGAACTGGGGGACAGATGAAACTGAGCCCTAGTGATCAAACAGAAAAGTTGGCAGAACCCAGCACAGATATCTCTGGGACGCTATACTCACTTTGGCATAGAAAGCCTAGCAGGCTCAGTCCCTCATGGGTGTCAGACTCAATGGGGAGCCACCACCTCCATACCTTCTCCTCCCCCGTGAACCTGGGATTGGCGGGGATCTGAAGATCTGAGGCCTCCTAATCCCACGGCCAGGTAGGGGTAGTGGGGACCCACAGTAGTCCCTCAGAGCTTCCCAAGGCGAGTGTGTCCCAGTATTTAACAGTCTGAGCTTGCGTGTCTGCCCCAATGGGGAGGAAGTGGAGGCAGCAGAGGGACCTCAGGAAGGAAGGGAGTCTCACTGTCCATGGTGCTGGCAGGGCAGCCAGAGCCCAGAGCAAGGGCTGTTTCCAAGCTGAGATTGTGCCTGTGACCACCACAGTCCTTGATGACAAGGGCAACGAGAGGAGGATCACCGTGGACCAGGATGAGGGTATCCGCCCCAACACCACCATGGTGGGCCTGGCCAAACTGAAACCTGCCTTCAAGGAGGGCGGCTCTACCACTGCTGGTGAGGCTGGGCTGGGGGAGGGAGGAAGAAGAGGCCGTGTCCGTGCTGGGTGTTCTCTGGGAGCCTGGAGCCACCAGGCAAGGTGGACATAGGAGGGCTGGGCTGCCTCAGCCCTGCTCTGAGGCCTCCTTACCCCTATGGTTTGCCTCTAGGAAACTCTAGCCAGGTGAGCGATGGGGCAGCTGCCATCCTGCTGGCCCGGAGGTCCAAGGCAGAAGAGCTGGGCCTTCCCATCCTTGGGATCCTGAGGTCCTATGCAGTGGTTGGGGTCCCACCTGACATCATGGGGATTGGTCCGGCCTATGCCATCCCTGTAGCTTTGCAAAAAGCAGGTAAGGTGGCTCCTTCATGCCCTACATCTGGATCTTCCTTCTGCCTCTCAGTCTGAGGCCATGTGTGTCCTCTTGCCTGAGGGTGGTGGTCCTATGGGGGCTGCAGAGTGAAGGTGGGACAGACTAGCACCTCTGCCAGGAGCCCTTCCTGACCCCACTCTGGGACCTACTCATGCATCTGAAACAAAGACAGAAACACCAGGCAGCCTACAGGCCAGGGATGGGGTGGGCCCTTGGGGATTGAGAGCCCTGCTGAGGGTAAGGGGCCACTGGGTCAGCTGAGGCCTTTCCCCTTGCCTGCAGGACTGACAGTGCATGACGTGGACATCTTTGAGATCAATGAGGCCTTTGCAAGCCAGGTGAGCCTTTGTTTCTCCACATTGAGCCAAGGGTGCAGGGGACGGGAGGGAGCTAGAGCTGAAGCTCTGCCTCCTCTCAGGCTGTCTACTGTGTGGAGAAGCTAGGACTGCCCCCTGAGAAGGTGAACCCTCTAGGGGGTGCCGTGGCTTTGGGCCACCCACTGGGCTGCACTGGGGCTCGACAAGTCATCACGCTACTCAACGAGCTGAAGCGCCGTGGGAAGAGGTGAGGCCGACTCCCCATGGGGGTGTCCTGGAGGATGCCCAGGCTGGGCATCTGAGGGCTGTAGGGGGAAGTATACTTTCACACACTCTGAATTAAGGATGCAGGAGTGTGACCCCCCCGTTTTCCATGAGAGCCTGCCCTGAAGGGGACCCTGGCCTGCCTGCAGCCAACACCTGCCACCATGTGTGTGCCCAGGTGGGCAGGCAGGGAATTACATACCCATAGATTTTCATCCTCTGTGCCCGCGGAGACCTTGGTGTACCCAGCTCTGCCTGGTCTGGAGAAAGCCCAGTGGGGGGGCTTCTGCCCTTTGTGCCCTCACCCAGCCAACACAGCGTTGCTTCCACAGGGCATATGGGGTGGTGTCCATGTGCATTGGGACCGGAATGGGAGCTGCTGCTGTCTTTGAATACCCTGGAAACTGAGGGATGCACTCCCCAGACAGGCGAGAAAGCAACACTACAGAAGTGGCGCCACAGGGGAAAACTCAGCGTGGGTGGTTGTGGCGGCAGTGGGCAAATCAAGGCACTTCAACTAATTTGGAAAACGTGAACACTGATGGCACAGTATGGGAGTGGGTGAGGTACTGGGCCACCAAGGCCACCATGTAATACTTGTGGATGGGGAACGCAATAGACACAGTAAATGTATGTTAGCTTATCTTGGTGGCTGTGGTTTATTCCAAGGGCCAGGTCTTACCACACTGGTCTTGTCTCTGCTCACTGTGGTATGGCCCATGAGGACAGAGTGCAGGACCTGCGCTGAGACCAGTGCCCTGGAGGGAGTCCCTCCATCCCAGGAGCTGCTCAGAGGTCCTCAGAGGTCCCCATGCATAGCACACCTGTTTCTTAGTTCTGGGCCATGTTTATTCCCAAAGTTGGCAGGGGGAGGGGTATTCTGAGGACAGAACCTCAGAGCTGGTAGGGTGACACAAATCTCTCATCGTAAGAGCCTCGGCCCCGGAGCCGCAGGGTGCAGGCATTCTCTCCGAGCACACCTTCCACCACCAGCGTGGATTCATACAGCTCATTGCTCCTGTGGACCCAGGGGGTGAGATCAGGAAGGAGTTCCAGCCTGAGGGCAGTGCCGGAGAGGTGGAGAGGGGCTGTACCTTGCAGTGAAGAGAACCTGCAGGCTGATGGAAGTTGGAGGCGCGTTGACTGGTCGTGCCTCCAGCATTCCACTGCTTGGGGAGACCCTGAAGGCCACAGGGTCCTTGTCCGGCTCCTTCTGGCCTGCACCAAGGGGAAGGGAGCATATATGTGGGCAGGCAGCTCCATGTACTGCCCCAGGAGTACTTTCCCTGCATCTCTGGGGGATCACTTAGGATTGGGGAACTGGCCATCCCTGTAGGAATTCCCAGGTGGTACCAGCCTGCAGGGACAGGACACATAGGCCCCTTCCTGGGGGTCCTGGCCCAGCTGCATGGGAGCAGTGGGCAGACAGGAGAGCATGACATACCCATCAGCACAGTCCAGTAGCTCCGGCAACCGCTCAGGTTCATCAGGTAGACCTCCCGGACCCGCCCCTGGTTCACAAAGCAGGTCCCAAAATCCACCCAGCTGGTAGAGAGCTGCAGCTCGGGCACAGACACGGTGGCCCGCAGGGGCACCACCTAAGGGCACAGAACCTTTACCTTGAGGACCAGGCGACCTTGCCCACCCCTGCTGGGCTCTGAGCCAGGGTCTCAGGGACACATGAGCCCTGCCGACTCCAAGCACTGGCGCTTCTGAGGAGCGCACAGGCAGCACTGTGGAGGTGGTGGGGGCTGGTGTCAGCATCTAAAGCTGGAAGCTGCTGGTGGGCTTCTGCGCAGATAGAGGGCCGGAAGGCACCAACTGCTCCCCCTGCCACCCCTGCCCTAATCAAGCTCCCTGGTCGGCTGCCCTCTTGCCTTCCTCTTGCTCCCATGGGGCCCCAGCGCCCAGCCCTGTGTTCCTCTTGGACTCTAGGCCATCTCCCCCTTTCCCTTGACATCAGGGCCACCTGTGCCCTGAGCGCCCTAGCTCCTGACAGCCCCACTACCACCACGTCACCTCAGGCACTGTCTGACTTACCTTATTACCTTGGCCTCTCCTGCCCCTGGCTCCAACAGCTGCCCAAGTACCAGGCTAGAGGGCTCACCTGGCTCTAGCGCTTAGATCCTTCCTTTTGGCCTCTCTGGAATCCACTCCCCAAGTCAGGCCATTCCTTCACGTTCCTCACCTGCACCTTCCCGCTGGGCCCCTACCTGCCTGGGCCCCTCCAGCTCAGCCCCACACCACAGCCTGTGATCTTCTGTCAGTCCACAGACCCAGGCCCGTGGTGTTCACCCTGGTGCTCAAAGCCCCACAAGAGCCTGGGAGTCTATCCCTCAGGTGCTCACTATTCCCACCCATCAGGCCATTCCCTCGGCCTGGCTTTTAATATGGTTTCCCTTTTCATTAAATAGTGATTAAATAGGCGGCTTCACATGCCACCTCCTCCTAGAAGCCTTCCTCGATTTTTCACTGTATAGTGCCTCACCTGGCTCTGAGCTCCTAAGGCAAGTAAGGATGAATGGCCCTCATCTCTCCATGGTCAAGGCCTTTTTCAAGGCAGACTGGACCCGCAGGGCAAGGGCTTGGGGCTCCTCTTATTTCTGAGGGCCCTGTTGGGGTTTGCCTTCGTCTGACCCCAACCCAGTTCCACCCTCCTCAGCTCTTGGGACATGCCTGGGACTCACCTGAGAGGTCTGGTTGGTGTACTCTAGGAGCAGATTCTGGGTAAACACCATCTCTTTCTCTCCACTTGTGCTCTGCCGAATGTCCACTCCGGGCAGCATCTGGTCACCTGGGAGCTTCTGATAGGAGAGCAGCTCCAGGGAGAGCGAGAAGGACACATCCACCTGAGCAGACAAGAGCCAACCGTCACCTCAGGCTGCTGAAGGCAGGTGGCAGCTTCCCCACCTGGAGCTCTGTCCCTGCAGGCCGGACAAGGTCCCAGCTCAGTAATGACACAGCACAGCCTGCAGGGGGTCAGACCCAGCCCTGCCCAGCAAAGAGCCCAGCAGTGCGTCTCCTCCCACACCACCCAGAGCCCGTCAGGCACATTCATTCCACGGACACTATCTGTGCCCTGCTCTGTCCTAGACCAAGATGTGGGTATGGGGTGACAGAAGGGCAACATTCTGAGGCTGAAGAGAGGGCAGCAACAGGGCTCGGTGGCTAGTCACAGTTGTCTAGAACAAGGAGTGCCAGAGCTGCAGTGGTACTTGCTGAGATAAAATGCCACTATTGAAAGGCATCAGTGTGGGCAGGACTGGGTGGAGGAAGATGGGGAGTTCAGTTTGGACAGGTGGTGTGTGGGAGAGGACTCTGGTCAGGAGTCAAAAGGCCCGGCCCTGCAGCACGTGGAAGCACTCAGTACGCTTACACTGAGGAACACATTTTGAAAGCATGTATGGCTTCTCACAGAAGCTCTGGACGTGGCTGAGATGGCCCAGGAGTGTGCAGAGTGAGGTGAGGGCCCAGGTGGAGCTCTGAGCAGCAGCATAAAGGAAAGCACTTCGGGGGACAGGAGGAAGGAGCCTCTGGAGCAAGAGGGGAGCTGGGAGAGAGTGGGGCACCCAGCCTGACAGCCCTTGCCTGGCTGCACACACCTGGGAGCCCACAGTGAAGATGTGGGGTGCACACCGCCAACTACCCATGTGGCCTGTGAAAGGAGGAAGATGTTCACGGTTCCCACTGACTGGCATTCCTGGGACCACCCCTCCTCCCAACTCTGCAAATCCAGGATCCTGTTATCACTGACACCCCATTAGAAGAGAGAAAGTCGCCTTTGGACCCAGAGTACCTTACACTGATGGCAAGATGGCAATCAAACTGAACTCGCTTGAGCCAGGCACAGACCCGAGTGATGGCACATGGGAGTCTGTGTGCCAAGTAGAGGTGCTCGAGGGAATGCCTGGCCTTGACCAGGGTGCTGGCAGAGGGGACTGAGGGGGGGTCTGGCGTGTCTGGGACTTGCGTGTATTCACACCAATCGCTGGCTCTACCTCCGCATGTGAGCCACCTGTGCGGAGGGCCTGTGTTTGCTGGAAATGGTGTGTCTAGTGGGAGTGTGGTCCTGAGTGCCCAGGGTGTGGGCTGGGGGGTAAGACCTGTGTTTTGAATATACATCTGTGTGTGTGTGTGTCTGCATACAAACGTGTGAGGGTGGTATGAAGTGTGTTGTCTGTACACATATGTGCATGTATGAGAGAAGACTATGACTCCAGCCCAGGGGGGCATGCCCATCAAGGCTGAGGACCCCAGAACCCTCCACTGACCAGCATGTTCTCCTGTGGGTGGAGCACCAGCTGCTTGCCTGCTGCTGCCGACCCCTCCTCACACGGCTGCTCCTGGCCAGGCCCGGGAGCTCTGCGGCTATAGCTAGCTCCCTCTTGAGAAGCGGAGAAGGGCCAGGAGACCAGGAGCCGGAAGTAATGTGGGATGTCTGTCGTGTTGGTCAGCTTCAGGTGGTGGGTGGTCACCAGCTCACTCAGCACCTGGGTGGCCACAGAGGTGGGGGAGGCTGGGGATGCATCTCTCCCCTCTCCTCAAGCCCTGGCTCTGGGGTAGGATTGGGATTATGGGGGGGAGGGAGGCAGGGGTGCTTAGACTATAACACCTGTGCCTCAGAGGGGACTATAGGGACATCTGAGGTCTAGATAAATGGGCAGGGCCAAGGAGGGCAGCACACTCACCCCAGAACAGGGCTGCTCAGGGATGAGGTCACTGGCCTGGTGCCGGAATTCCATGCCGCCACCGTAGTCCAGCTCTACACTTAGCCTGCCAGCAACAGGCATCGATGGTGGGGCCAGGCTGGGCCTTGGGGGCCTCCTGGCTACCCCCACTCTGCCTGGCCAGCCTTTTCCTGGGTTCATCTGCTGGGTACACCTCCCCCCCATTCCATTGTCTTGCTCCCAGAACCCTGTTTGGTCCCCACCAATGCCGGGTAAGGGTGCTCCCCACAGGGAACGAAGGGAGGCCAGGCGGCCTAGCTGACTCACTGTGCGGGCCTCACGTAGCTGTGCAGGTCCAGCCTCAGCGGTCCCACGGCAAAGCCCTGCAGACGCCGCCTCCTCCCTGGAAGCTCCCTTTCCACCTGCCAAGCCCAAGCCGATCATTGGCAGGTGGCTGGGCTGAGCAGGCAGTGTGCTACCCTGGAGAGGGGGGTGGCTGTGGTCCCACCACAGGCCGGGAGGGCTCACCTTATTGTCTAAGCTCATGAAGCCCAGGGCGTAGCCAACACACTCCACCTTGTGCAGGATGTGGGGGCCGAGAACCAAGGGTGTGAAGGAGATGGAGATGGTGCTGCTGCCCCCTGCAGGGACCACCTAGCACAGGCACACAGACTCAGCACTGCTTGGTGCCACTGGCCAGTGGGGACTTTTCCAGGCAGCTCTCAGCCCAGCCCCAACTCACCACCTGCTTGGGGCTGATGCGGTACAGGTGGTCAGAGGGCACTCCCTCGTGCCCCTGCAGGACAACTGAGATGATCTGTGCTTCCCTCTCATTGGCACCGGAGCTGCTCTCCTCCTGTCACCACGGTGTCACTGAGGCTCACACAGGCTCAAGGCCCACTAGCCACACCTGGGCAGCAAGCCCGTGACCTCCCCCCAAGTTTGCTCACAGAATGGGCAGCTTCAAGGCTGGACATCGACTCGTGAGAGACACTTGGGGACCAGAAGGACCTGCTGCTCTCCGGGGTCTCAGGCCACAGTAGTTCATTTCCGTCTTGGTTCCGCAGTGGGAAAGGTGGCCCGTAAAACACCAGCAGCTCCAGCAGCTGGTCCTCCTTTTCTTCCGGAGCGTAGGTCTCCCAGTCCAGGCGGATGTCTGGGGGGACAGGGGCAATGACGAGGTAAGAAGAAGACAGATCTTCCCCACGCCCCCACCTCCCTGCAGCCCCTCGGAGGCTGCCCCTTATCCCATACTCAGTGTGGAAGGGGCCTCGCTTCCCCTCTACTGCCACTTCCAGGCAATTCTCATTTTTTAAAAATCCACAGGCTTATACTCTCCAGCTCTATCACCCTCAGCCCTTCAGGCACAGGGCGAGGTCTTCATGTCCAAATGCACGAACCCAGGCACCCCATTCCCTCCCTACAGCCTCCCCTCAGCCTATTTGCTGACCTCTCTGGGCCCTCCAGCTCCTGTATCCCCCACCTGCTCCCCTCCATCCATCAGCCCCCATCTACATTCACACCCTTCCCCAGCCAGGCTAATCTTTGGAGACCACCACATCAACTTCTATCTTGCCAGGATTCTCACATCTCCTTTGCCCCCATCCTTCTACCTGCCTGGCAAATCCTAGCCCTGGATGAACTGAACCAACCCTCTGGGCCCCATTGGAGAACATCCCCCACACCCCAAAGAGCTTGCCACCCCCATAAATCTGTCCCCAACCTAAACTGTGCTCCCACTCTGCCCATCACTCCGTTGCCTACTCAGCTCTCCCAGCCAACTGTACCATGGCTGCCACATCTTCCCTGCCCTCCTCTGAAACCTTCACTGCCTCCCTGAGAGTTGGTGGCCCTACCTCATCTCCCAGAAGCCCCGAAATCACGAAGACCCTAAAGTCTTGTCCCAACCCCCACATGTCTGTACTAATCCCATCTCCCTTCCCCTGGTCTTCAATCCTGTCCCTGCCTCCCTGTTCACGGGCCAGCCATGCCCAGTCTCCCCATCTCTGACCTTCCCAACAGCACTTATACAAGGTCAGGTCCCCTCACCTGAACAGGCTTCCCTCTGCCAGGCGGCCTGTCCAGGACCGCCTTCTCTCTTCCTTTCACAGCAAGCTCATAAGACAAACTGTCCATCATCGCCTCCCCCTCTTCAGCTCTCACCCACACCCCAGGTAACACTGGCTTCACTGGCTGGGCCTGGGGAATACCTGGTGGTCACAGGCCCAAGGTCCGGATCTTGTGTAACTTAGGGTTCTTACCGGCACTTGCTTCTTACACCCACCAAATCACTCGCAGCAAGGCCACCAAGGACCCCCACACCCTGAAGTTCAGTGGGCAACCTCAGTTTCAAGTAAAGACAGAGAAATGTACACATGCTGATGAGCCCCAAGGAAGGGAAGGTAACCATTAAAGGAAAGGAAAGTAGAAGAGAAATTCCCAGTGAAACGAAGGGAAAACGGAATAAAGTCACAAGAAGCAGAATGAAGAAAGCAGTAAAATAAGTAAAATAAGAAGGAAGAAATATATAGACTGAATGACCTTCCCTCTTAAAAGATATAGGAGAAAAAAAAAAGATACAGAATGTCAGATTGAGTTTCTTGAAATCTCAGCTCTCCGTTGTTTACAAAGAAACACAGGTCACAGTCACAAGGGTGAAAACAGAGGGATGGGCGAAGAGATACCAGGCCAACCAACGGTCAGGCGACCCCGTGACCAGGCGCAGCAATGTTACTGTAGGGCGAGGTGGGTTTAAGCACTGAAGGTGTGACGAGGAACATTATGGGGTGATAAAACGCATCATTTGTGAAGATTCACTTCTCAAAAGCATCTAAAAATAGAGCAGCTAAAAACATAAAAATAAAAAACCAACTACTGGAAGCGCCAGTAGAACTTGATAAAGATGCGATCAGAGGAGTTTACTTCTATACACGCACCCTTTCCAAACTGCACCGATCGAGTAGACAAAAAGCAGCAGGATCACGTGGAGTGGCAGTTCTCTCTCCCAGCTGAGAGCAGAAAAATCACCAGAGCAGCTTAGGAGCCGGGTGCCCAGGCCCCACCCCTGGAGACTGGTTCAGCTGGTCTGGGGTAGCCCAGGCTTGGGATGCCTTAGATCCTCTCCCGAAGCTCTGACGGGCTCTGAGCTGGCACAGCGCTTCCTGTGGCCCGGGCGCTCTTCATCTCCATGGGCTCGCTCCCCCAGACCCACGTGGCTCGCCCTTCCTCCTGGACTCAGCCTGAACAGCCCTCCACAGGGGAGCCTCAACCCTCAGTCCAGTCCCCAGCACTCTGGCCTTCCCCTGTACACACTCGATGCACTCAGCGTGTTGGCAGCCCACAGTCGTGTCTGTCCTGCCCATCGGGGCACATGCCACTCAGCAGAGGCCTAGCTGTCCCGTCTCCTTGCACAGAACCTGGCAGGTATCCCAGGTACTGCTGGCTAAAGGGTAAGAAAAGTTACCCCCTGCCACTGCCTGTCCCTGTGCAAAAAGCAAGAGCGGGGCAGCTGTGGTCCCAGGGACACTGGGAGACCCAGGGCTGAGCAAGGCCAAGTCCTGTCCTCAAGGATATAAGTGGCTCTCTCTGACAACCCCAGCTGGCTTGGTCACTCCCCACCGTGGCCCTTGGGGGCCTCCCTTGCTAACCACAGACGCCTGGACTCCTGGGTCCTGGTCAGGGGCCGCCAGCTTCTCCTAGCCCCAGCTTCCCTTCTAGCCTGGCCCAGCACATGGCACAAGCTATAGCAAGAACCCCAATTTATCTCGTGAGCGTCTCACCACAGGGGCTGTAGTTATGCAGGCGAAGGATGCGGGTGACTGTATCTCCTCCAGAGACCTGGGTGCTGAACCTAGAGGCAGGCGACAAGGCTCAGCAAAGCCACAGCCAGCACACAGGAGGGCTGGTGTTGGGGCTCAGGCAGGGAGAAGGCCCCACAGTGGTCTGTCTTCATCCTGGGTGCCCCAAGACCCAGGCTGGAGGCCTTCTCCATGTGGTACCTGGTGAACTGTGACCCAGGGCTGCTCACTGCCCCAAAACACCCCTCCTCCTTCCCCTCCCTGCAACCACACTGACGACAGATCCCCCTTCAGGCGGTATGAGGGGCCCTGGGTCTAGCACTGACCTTAGGCCACACTGACTACTCACTACTTCTGTCCCAAAAGCAGACTGAGACGTGCAGATAGCAGCCAGGTGCCCTGAGGCCTCTCCCCTCCAGGGCAACCCATCCTGGGGCTTCCTTGCTGAGTGGCTTCAAGTGGCCCCAGGCCAGTTGAAGGGCAAGAAGAGAACAGCCCAGGCGGGAGGCCAGAAGATTTCAAGGGAGCAGAGAATGAGGCAGGGGTGGGGCACCTGACGACAGGCTCCTTCTGGAACTGGTCCATGGTGTAGTTGGTCCTCAGAGAGCTGATGGGGCAGCCCACCACCACCATGTGCACCGGGATGACTAAGGGCGGCAGGTCTCCCACCTGCAAACACACACCGATCTTTTGTCACTTGTCACCGGATGCCACCACCTTCCCTGGCTCCCCATTCCCTTCAGTGCAAGGCCTTTCCTTGTCAGGCCAGCCCAGGGTCTCCACAGCTTGGTGAGATTTGAGAATCTAAGGGCCGGGTGTTGGAGAAGAGAGAGCCTGGAGGTGAGGGCCAGGGTCAGGTTCCCTGAACCCCAGGCCACGACCCGCCTGCAAGATCTTACCGTGCAGATGAGGCTGTCCCGGTACTCGCCCCACATGTTCGCACAGCCCGTGATGTCGATGCGGAGCTGCTGGTGGGCACCCAGTGTGCCCTGTGAAACGTGGGGGAAGAAGGCAGCTCCTTTTCCGTGAGACAACATGTTTTCCATAAATTCTGGGAGAGGACCAGGAAAGGGGATTCAGGACCCCAGGGTGGGGGACAATGAGGTCAAACCCTCAGGTGTCAAAACACTGTCCCAGACAAACCACCCCACAGCCTAGCAAAACAGACCCTCCTTCTGGGATCCCAGAGTCCGGGGCCCAGTCCTCAGTGGGAGCCCTCCCTCCTGAGCTGCCAACCACTCCAAATCTAATCCAGGTCCTGTGCACAATCTTTATGCCCTAACAAGGGGAGGGTCCCATTCAAAAGAGGGACTCTGTAAGGTGGGGGACCACAGCCATCTCCTGGACCATGCAGGAAAGGACACTGAGATGGTTGGGCTCCACATCCTCAGGAGCCATGGAAAATCCTGCTCTGGCTAGGCCAGGCTCAGTGCCTGTCCTGGGGCTCTTACTCAGGTGCTCTCGCTTGGCCAACTGCTGGCGAATTCGATCCGTCTTCAGCAGGGCAGGTGACACGTCAGGGCTTTACCAGATGGGACAAAGAAATAGCATCAAGCCATCTAGACCTTTTCTCAGACCTGAGCCACCTCCTCTGGAAACAGCATCTTACCAGATGCCCAGGGGAGGAAGGCGGCCCTGCCCACTCCTCCCAGGGGAGCACTGACCAGGTCTCTTCTTTACCTCTTTGCTCCTGGTTCACCCCTACCACCCAAAGCCACCCACTGGCCCCAGGGGTTGCCTCCCAAGAAACTCAGTAAGGCTCTGGGGTAGAGACCCCCTACTCCCAGTTTCTGTGCCTTGGTGACCCCTGGGTGTGAACCCAGCCCAGACTCGCCAACTCTTGCCCACTTTTCTGCAACAGGTCCCAGTTTCCAGTCTTTCCAGCTGACACCTGTCCAGCATCAAGTGCACACTAATTTTCTGGAGTGGGAGAGTTAATGGCTTGGAAACTGTTAGTGGCTCCCCACCACCTGTGGCAGTGGTTTTAAAGGTGGGCTCCCCTGCCTTAGGCGATTTGGCAGTGAGGTGCTTGCAGTGCTATGCTGGTAAATTGCCAGTTTCTGTGGTGTAAATACTTTCCCCGTGGCTGATCTCAAGTTACAGCTTGCAGAATGCCTCACAGCCACATCTCTGCCCACACAGTTCCCTCCAACTCCAGTAACTTCTCCCTCATCCACTGGCCTGAGTCAGAAGCCCTCCACTCAGCAGGCCAGGCTGAGGAGAAGGGCCCACAGGCCCAGCCTCTCCCACAGGCCCTCTCAGGCTCTGGGAGCTGGGCAGCAAGCACCATTTCCTCTCCGTGTTTCCCCATGGCTACCTGTGAAAATACATCCTTCCCGGGGACTGGGCCTGAGAGAAACCAGACTTACGGGCTGAGTTTTTGGCTCAGGCTGTTTTGAGGGCTCCCAAAGTACTCGAACTTGAGGGTGAAAGAGGTCTGGATTGGGGAGCGGTTGGTGAGGATGAGCTGGTGATGCACGCAGGTCCTCAGGGGCACTGCCGAGCCAAAGTCCAGGCGGAGCTCCTCCTTCTGGCCCGGCCATGGCTCTGTGCTGGGAACACTGTCCCTTGCCCGTGGGCACCAGGTTACATATCACCCTTGACCCTGCCCCAGGAGCCACTGTGGGTGGGGGTACGGGAGCTGTCTAGCATCCTGGCTTCATCCTCAGACTCCCACTTCGTCTGCCACCCCATGGACACCCCTTCTTGTCAACCTGAGATGCCAAGAGAGGCCTCAAGCACCACCACCTCTCCCTGGCCGGGGACGGACTGGCTTATCTCTCAGTTGCCGGGCCTCATGTGGGAAAGCCCAAGGTACTCACAGCCCTCTCCCCTGCCATCACCTATCTGCCTGGGCACCATGCCTCCAAGTGTGGGGGCAAAAGATCACAGAGAGGGCAAGGATGGGGTAGAGGGATCTGGCTGTAGGAATCAGCTGGGAGGAGGCTGGTACCATGGGGTAATTCTGGTCCTTCATATGGTTGCCTCAGCACTCAGGCCCTGGCCCCAGTCCTGGGCTCACCTTCTACTGGAGCCCTCCATAGAGATGGCAATGTCCACTTGCAGTCCCTGGGGTTTCCCAGAAATGCCCAGAACCAGTGGCTCCTTCATGCCTGACACAGTGCAAGGGAGGGCCAGATCGGTCAGCTCTTCCTGTAGGAAAGCCCATTGGGGGTGCATTAGCACAGGTGAGTACCAGGACTGGGCTCAGAAGGTCTCCCTCAGCACAAGTGGCTGCTGTGGGGGGTGCTCAACACGAAGGCCTTGATTCTGTTCAGGCCCATCTCTGTGGGGGGGCTCCCCAGTCCCTCAGTGAGCCACCATCCCCAGGCCCAGCCTGTTGGCCCCCACCCTGCCCCCAGGAGGCCTGGCCCTCTCTCAGGGCTCCGGCTGTGTCTGCTCCAAGTATCTGGACATGCACACAGGAAAGAAGACCCTCAAAGTGGAAACTCTGCAGAAGCAATACGTTTATTCTGATGAAGCTGCTATCATAGAAACCAAACCCTTCCTGCTCCGTGCCAGGCCTGGGCCCACCTGTCTGTCGACCTAGAGCTCAGTCTCGGCTGTGTAAGAAAGCCCACTGTCCCCATGTTTGCCAGTGAGGAACTGGGACCTGGGTCTGCAAGTCTCTGAAGGAAGAGGTTTCTTCTTCGTATGCCACCTGGATGGCTTTCCTATGGGCCATACCATGGAGAAGCTGTGTCCTTCTCAGGAGGAACTTGGCTGCCAGTCAGCCTCCCAGCCGCAGCCGGCACAGAGTCTGCCACGAGCACAGCCCTGCTCTGGGTCTCTGGGCAAATTGGAAAGATGGCCCGCCTGTGGCCACAGAGCACGGCCTGGGGAGGGCTAAAGTTGGTGCCAAAGGCCAGATGTGGCCATCGGATTTCAGGACAATTCCATTTCAGGCCTGATGCAGGCTTTCTGAACTTGTGTCCCTAAAGAACAGGCCTAATGGGAATGAGGACCCAAGACCTAAATACCAGAAATCTCTTCCCCACTCCCAAAGACCAGGCGTGGGGTCTGAGACTGACCTCCCTGCTAGCACCGGTGCAGACAGTCACCAGGTGCCTTCCCGGTCCCCCTCGGCCCTTCCCATCCCTACTCACCTGGGTATGAGCGGTCAGTTCCAGGCTGAGATGGAACTCCTCACTGGGGCCCAGTGTGCCCCGTCTGGGGGAGACTTTTGCTTTGCAGAAGCTTGCTTGGTGCCCTAGGAGCTGGCAGATACAAGGGTGGGCCTGTTGTCACATGGGAACTCCCAGGATGGGCCAGAGGTCCACCCAGAATGCTCAGCAGGACTGCAGCTCTGCTGGATGTGGCAGACTGGGGGCCACAGCAGGACCAGTAGGGCTGGGTGCTTCTGGGTGGAGATAAACCCCTGGTCCCTTTCCCTACCCTAGAGGGACCTCACATCTGTCAAGGGTTGCCTGGACTAAAATAGCAGCCCTAGGAGGACCAGCGTGATGGGGAGCAGAGGGCAGCTGCCTCTGATGCACAGGAATATAGCCCCATCTCCCATGGCAGGCAGAGCAGGCTCTAGACAGCCCCATGGACAGTGCCTCATCTGGGCTCCCAAGAGCCGCGTGGACCAGTCACGGGCTGGGCAGTCTAGCTGTTTACACCAGAGACTCCTGCTCAGGCAGGGAACCGGAATTCCCTGAGGGCAGGCCAAGGAAAAGCCAGACCAGATGTGCTGCTCCTTCGAGGGGCCCAGCTTCTCTGGGCACTGTGGGGCAAGGACAGGCTGTGGAAGGGAGGCTGAGCATCTGTTCTGCGGTACCTGAGGGGCAATGTCTCCCTCCCCACAGGCCTCTGGTGCCGAGGGCTGCAGACCTGGTGCCGACAGTGTGGGCTTACTCACCTTGCCCCAGTGGAACCGGGTGGGCAGGAGCGTGCCATTGATGAGTGTGATGGTTGCCTTCGTAGGCACGCCCAGGTAGAGGTTGCTGACCACAACCTGGCTGCTCTGAAGGTACACGTAGGGCTCCTGTATCTCTGCATACACAGGGAGGTAGCTGGAACATGAGGAAATAAAAGGCATACTGATCAGAAAAAAAGAAATAGAACTATACCTATATGCAGAAGACATGATTGTCTATGTAGAAAATCCCAAGGAATCTATTTTTTAAAAATTCCTAGAACTAATGAGGCAGCAAAGTTACAGCCTACAACATCAACATACAAAAATCAATCACACTTTTACATGTTAACTATGAATATGTGGAAACAGAAATTAAAAATACAATAGCATTTAAAATTGCTCCAGAAATGGAATAACTAAGGTATAAATCTAATAAAACATGTACAGGACTTGTGTGCTGAAAACAACAAAACATTGATGAAAGAAATCAAAGTAGACTTAATAAATGGAGGGATATTCCGTGTCCATGGATTGGAAGAGTCAACATAGCAAAGGTGTCAGTTCTCCCCAGACCGATCTATAGGTTTATCACAATTCTTGTCAAACTCCCAGCAAGGATTTTGTAGATATATACAAGCCAATTATTAAATTTATATGAAAAGACAAAGACACAGAATGACTAAAACAATTTAAAAAAAGCAACAAAGTGGAAAATCACTCTACTAGACGTTAAGACTTGCTAAATATGCACCGTAATCACAACAGCGCGCTGTTGGTGGAGGGATATGCACCGCCGATGCTGTTCCAATGGGAAATAAATAAATAAAAGAAGGATGTGATCAGATCAATAACAAAACAGAGGAGAGCAAAACTGCTCCTTAAGGCCCCCAGAAGAGGACCCGAGGGGCTCCTTAACAAGGGAACGAGAGGCATCGCAGGGCAGCAATGTGGGAAAGGACTGTGGGTGATCAGCGCAGCCAGTTCAGGGCCCCAGCCCCTGAGCTCACACGACACACGGAGACCGGGCTGCCACAGGATTTATCCCCCAGAAGAACGTGGGTGTGGGGCTGGAGAGCCGCAGGGCAGATCCTGCAGTGACTGACATTGGGCCTCAACTATCACGGAGGGAAAGCAGCCAGACAGATCCTAGTCTTCATCCCTGTTTACGAATGAATGGGTGGGGTGGTCTGTGCGGCTGCCAGCGTGGGTTCCCCGCCGCTGGGCTTGGGCTGTGTCCCCCACGACCCTTCCTGTTGCAGGCGGCGGTGTGCTCTGAGGGTTCGCACACGTCCCCCTCTGAGGAGTGCTGTCCATCCCTGCACCCCCTTCCTCAGAGGGGACTTACACCACCAGCTCCTCAGGCAAGTCAGCTCCCTCTCCCACTCAGAAACAGGAATGGCAGCCAAGGACGACCAGACACCAAGAAAAACCAAACTGTGAAGGAGGGCGCCAAACCAAAACCCGAGGGGACAAAAGTTAGAAAATTCGTTTCCTTGGGGAAATTTGAGAAGCTGCTGCATCCGTAAGATAATAACAGATTACTATCCCCCAAACCCCTCCCCCAAAACATCCAAGAACAAAAAAGCTTGAAATTTGAGAACGTGGTTGTGAAAAGAAGGGCATCTACCAAAGACTGAGTTAGTGAGCTGCGAGGCCGAGGCCATCTCCTCAACAAGAAGCGAAGACAGTCTTCCTGCCGGCCTCTTCTGGAGACAGACCCTCTCCAAGTCACCGGGGTGGGCACGCGACCCAAAGGGAACCAATCAGGCCCGCCCCTGGGAAAGCCAGTTTCCTCTTTCCCGGGCTGTTCCTCGGGGCAGAGCGACCACCGGCCCCTGTCCAGCAGGGGAGGGGAAGGCCCACCCGAGAGCAGCTGAAGGGGGGGGAGGCTGGGGTGGGGCAGAGCCAAAGCTGGTGGGAAAGAGACGCAGGAGAAAAGGCCGGAGCCCCTGCCATCAGCAGGGCAGGGAAGGCCAGCTGCATGAGCCAGTGGCTCCCCTTTTTGCCTAACCTGGTTGAACCCGTGTCTCACCTGTAAACACCCTGATGAACACAAGTTCCTTTAGGCAGAAAGAACAGAGACGGAAAAGGAAAGGAAATGAGCAAAGACTTAATACAAGGCCTCCTCCCTCAGAGTCAAGGCCCGTGAAGTGCATGCAGGACCCGTGAGGAAAAGACCCACTCTCAGGCCCGGACTAGCATTTGGGGAAAAGCACATTGGAACGAGACACTGGTGGCACTTATTCCCCCATCAGATGGTCAAAGTATAAAAAGTGAGGTAATACGTGTCGCTGCGAGAGCGTGGGGCAATGCGCAGCCTCACCCTGGGAGTGGAAGTATAAAGTGGCACAGGGTATTTGGAGGGTGAGTTGAGAGTATCCATAAAGATTTAAAGTGCACATTTAAATGTTTTCATAATGAAATACAAAATACACACAGAAATGACTGTAAAACACACAGTGTAAATACATTCGGTTTAAAGAACTCCTGTGTATCACTACTACTCAGCTTATTACAGAACATTTCCACCAGCCAGCTTAAGAAAATGAACATTATGCTTCAAAATAAGTGGGGAGGGGGTGGGGAGAACTGGATGAGAATGCGGCCATCTGATAATTATGCAGGGGGGTGAGGGGAACATGGGGGCTCATGATACGATTCTACTTTTACATATTTAAGGAATTTTCTGGAAGCGAGGGAGGGAATCTCACTAATAACCTTTGAAACCTTCAGTGTGTTCCCCCCAGAATAGTGGTATTCACTCATCTAAATATGCCACAACTGCCCGCTGACCTAGGATCCAGGTGATGGGGGTTCGATTCCCGGTCAGGGCACATGCCCGGGCTGCGGGCTCGATTCCCAGTCGGGGGCGTGCAGGAGGCAGCCGATCAGTGACTCTCTCATCATTGACGTTTCTCTCTCTCTCTCCCTCTCCCTTCTTCTCTCTGAAATCGATAAAACTTTATATAAAAAATGAAAATAAATAAATAAGCCACAACTATTTTGTGTCTGTTCTGTTGAATGTTGTTTCCGGTTCTTCACCATTTTGAACAGTCCGGCTCTGAGAATCCCCATACGTGCCCACAGCTGCTGCTGCACACGCTAAGTTCCTCAGTTAATCTAGAAGGGCGGATACTGGGTCACGGGGCATGCGCGTATTTTACTTTAATGAGTATTTTCTGTAATTTCCAAATTTTATAGAATAAACATGTATTCACACCTGTAAATTCTGAAATTATATATAATATATGTAACTATACTGGGAATATGCAGAAAGTGTGTTGCAAGGGCTCTCCCCTTCCCCCTTACCTCCAGGGCCCGCTGACCACCTCCAGCACCAGGACGGTCTGCAGACACTGGCCCCGCAGAGCCTCCAAGGTGACGTTCACTCTGCACTCCCCCAGAGGGGGAATCTCGCCACTGGAGGGCTCAATGTCGAAAGGAGACACCTGGTTGGGAGGTCATTCCAGAAAGGTAAGGAGTGAGGACGTTTGGAATTGCAGGACATGGGGCTGGCCATGCCCAACCAGGGTCACTCCCAAGCTGTCCCCAGCTCTTCAAAGAGCCATGTAGGAAACAGAGGGAGGCAAGCAGGTGGGGGAGCACAGCTGGGCTAGAGTCTCAGGACTCAGAGGACAAAAACCGAGTCTCCATGTAAAGGAGGAGGTCACCATGCAATTTATACTCCACGTTGGCCATTATTTCAATTATAAAATGTACTCATCACAGTGGGAGCAAAACACAGACTGGGAATTAGAGAGCTGGGATCCCATATGATTCCACCACCCATTGGCTGTGAGACCCTGCCCCTCTCCGTCTCCTCTATCAGACAAGGAGATTGGATGCGGCCAGGAAGTTTCCAGCTGTGCTCTGGGAAATCCTAGGGATTCCTCAAAAGTGGGGAGAGGCAGGGTGGGGCAGGGGGGCGTAAAAAGGGGGTTTCTGAGTGGCCCGAGAAGCCATAGTTTATTCTAGACCCTGGGCTTCTGTGTAAGGTTTCATAGAGGAAAGAGTTCCTGTCTCAGGATACTGATAGTCCCAGTACCAAGCTCCTGTGGCTTCACAGTCCAAGCAGGGAGACCAGGGAGCCCCCAGGAGGGGAAGTGCTCACCCCAAGCCTGTGTAACAGGACATTTGGCAATGGCGTTGTGATTCACTGTAAATGTCATAACTTCTAAGTTTCAGGGTGCCCACCGAGAGAAGTGAGGCATCAGGTAAAGGAGAATGACTTTCGGAGAGTGGAGAGGAAAAGTCCTGGAGAAAGGGAACGTTAGCAGCTACGATGCATGTCTGGCTGCGACTGTCTTTCCTGGGCTTCTGAATGTGGAAGGGAAAGTGTGCAGTGTTATGCCCCAGAGGGGAAGTGGGCAAGCAAGACAGGGGCCTTGGCAGGAAGCTGCCAGAGGGAGATGTTTCACCAAAGGGACCTGGCCAGAGGCTCACAGGTGCAGTGACAACCTAAGGCAGCTCCCAGGGATCGAAGGCCACCAAGTGTGAAGAGCAGGGGTGGCCCTTCGGTGATTTACAACTAACTGCTGCTGGGAGCAACTGAGGCATTGTGACTTGGTTTTCTTCTGGATTGCACATCACATATTCAAATGTGATGCCACAGTTTAGATGTGATGTTGATAATACTTAGCCACCTGTAGTACTTTCTTATTTTATAGTAAAAAGAAAAGTGCTATTTGAGTGGAAATGAATCTTCGATTTTCTTTTTGGAGCCTTTGGTTTGGGCGAGGGGCCCAGGCCCAAGCCCCACCTGGTGGCAGGTACTCAAACTGCAGGCACAATCCCTGCGAAGTTGGGAACCTTGGGGTGTGCCCACCCAGCCAGTCCCTCCCTGGAGGCCTTGGAAGCTTCCTGCCCAGCTCAGCTGCCTCTTTTCTGCCTGACTCAGGCTGCTGTGACAGAGGGAGACACCCATGTCCTATGTCTGCATCACAGGGTTGTGAAAATAACAGGAAAATCCAGTTCGGAGTTAAGTTCTGCTGTAGAAAGGATTTGACTGCCTTGGAGATGGGGAGAACTGGGGACACTGCCAGGCAGAAGTCACCAGGCAGGCTTCTCCTCACCCAGCCTCAACCCTCTGAACGCCTAGCCCAAGATTCACAGTTCAAACATGACGCCGGTAAATCGGCTCCTGCGGGGAGGGGTGCGCCGGAGAGCGGCAGCTCCTGACTTACACCGTCTTGCCTTTCTTCCAGGCAGACCGAGCTCTCCTTCATGTGCCACGTGGCTGGGAGCGGGCTGGTGTTCTGGATCTGGATGGAGTTTGTGGCTTTCTGCCCCAGGCGCAGCAAACCAAACTGAAGGGCTGAGTCGCTGATGACGAGGGTAGGCCCCTGAGACACCCAGAGGCCTATCACTGAGCCACCCGGGCGTGGGCTCTGTGCCCTACCCCTGCCACCCGCCTGGCCCACCAAACTGCCCAGTCCCCCAGCAGCACCTTGAATGTCGCCTCGATGTGCAGGACCACTGGCGAGGGTGAGAATCTGATCTCACACAGCAGGTCCTGGCTTGTTGGGCCGGGGACACCCCCGGTGAACTTCAACTCAAAATCCTCCACCTCACTGGACTCTGGGGGGTCGGGGGAGCAGAGATAGAGAAAGGAAGCAGGGGTGGGTTCCCTTCGTGGCTGGGCCTGGATGTCTGACCTTCGCTGACTTCTTGCCCATGTGTGCCGGGATATAGCTGGAGCTAATCACTCTGAGGTCTCCCGTCCCCACCAGCCCCGGGCAGGTCGAGACCCCTCCCGCAGTACCGATGGTCCCTGTGCAGGGCTCCACTTCAATGATGTGGCAGTCGCTGATCTTCCCCCACGTGTATCTAATGCGGGACTTGCTGCTGTTCCACATCTGAAAGACACACCCCAACCATCCAATCTGTACCCAAGGAAGGACTATGGGACTGTGGGCGTACCAAAGGTCCTCTCGACACCCTCCCAGCTAATCCCTGGCCACCCGACAGCCCCAACACCACACTGCAGGGTTTGAGGGTGCCAGATCTTGCCAAATCTCCACGAACACAGGAATGGGTTCCACAACCCTGTGGTTTGGAAATGACAGACCCGCCCAGCCCAGCATCTGTGCAAACCAAGCTGGTTCAGGGGCCCTGGGACACATCCTCTATGAGGCGGCCACCCTCCGCCCCTCCAGCTAAGTTCTCCTTACACCTGTGCCCAGTTCAGCACCATCCTGGCCCAGGCTGGGGAGACGGGGACCTACCTTAAAGTCCTTCTTCACACTTATGCCGATGTAGTTCTCCCCCGGGATGATGAGAGCATATGGTTCCAAGAGAACCTGGAAAGGTTCCACTGAGCCCTTCACCTCGATCTCCAGGACGATCACTTCATCCGCACTGTACGAGGCGCCTTCCGGTTCTGAACTGAGCACAGACCCAACGTGAGCTGGGAGCCGGCACAGCCCGCAGCACGGCCCTGCACGGCTCTCACTTCTGTCCCATGTCTGTGGCCTTGTGAAAAGAAAACAATGGCCTACCCGCAGTACCCAAGCCCCCTAAAGTCAGACATGCCAGTCCATGCCCTGAAACAGTGATGAGTACCCGTGGCTGTGACAGCGGCTCAGCCTAAGGTCTGGGACAAGGGCACCTCCCCTGCTGCCTCTGGGGACCACAGTGTAGCACCCAGCCTGGGATCTCTACAGGATGCTGACTGCAGACCCCTGCGACAGTTGCTTAGGGAGGAGCTGGTAGCAATGCCAACCATGGGGCAAAACCTTCCCTTATTAGTCACCACCACCCAGGGGCCACCAGCCTGGCTGCCTGGTGGTAACAACAGTGAGCCTGGGGCACAGCAGGCTCCGTTCCCTGCATGCTGAGCCCACACCAGGCCTAGGTGCCAGAGCAAGGCAAACATGCTCCCACAGGTCAACACCTCCTGGGAGTCAGGTGGCTCCTTCACCCCTTCCCGCTGCCTTCCCTCGCATCCCCATGGGCAAGGCAGGCCCCACTACCCACCCTCCATCCGGGGCCCCGTCCCTGCTCACCTCGAGAGCTCTGGTACTTCCTCTATCACCATCTGGAGAACACTGTGAAAATCCTTTGGCTGAAACACAAACAGAGCCCTGAAAGCAACCTGCCTTCCAGCCAGGCTGCCCAAGAAAGGCTGGGGTCTCAACCCCAGAAAGGCTTCTGAAGAGTGCTGCTTCCCTGCTACATTTCCCACCATGTAGGGAGAAAGGGGTGGCTGCCAGGACGTGTGGCATGCCTCCCTCGGCTGAGCCTGGGGGACAGGAAGAAAAGGTTCTGCAGACCCCAACATTGCCCTCAATGTGTCCCAGCACCCCCCAGGACAGACAGTGCAGAGGCTGGATGCTGGGTTGAGAGGCCCACCTGCTAGTCCCACCAACGGGGTCCCCGAGCACCAGCCTTCACACCCGGCGCTCATGCCCCTCTCACCCAAGAGCTGTTACCCTCACCCTCAGGAACCTGCTCCCCACTCTCTCTGGGGGTGCTAGGGGCTGGGCAATGATGAGAATGTCCTTGATGTAGCAGAGATACAGGAGAACCCAGAGTGAGGAATGGACTGAGGGTCTTGCTGTAGGCTAGGCGTGTGCGGGATCAGGACCAGGCAAAATGAGTGGCATCGTCCTTACACCGCACATCTTCCTGCCAGCTCTTAGCTGAGTGTCACCCCACAGGCTGCTGGGGATCAGTCAGGCCCCACTGAGGCTTCGATGTCACCAAAGAGCATGTCCAGAGGGTGAAAATACCGTGACCTGATCATGTGTGGCCGCCAAGACGGCACCATCCTAACCTCGTGAGGAGAAAAGCTCAGGATGAACTCGTGGTCCGCGTGGGGGGTGAGCACGCTCCTCTCGGGTGTGATGAAGAAGGCCGTCTCGCTGTCGGGGTAGCACTTGAGGCTGTCCAGGCTGTAGGTATCTCCGGGCATCAGGGGCTGCAAGTTGGGCTTCACGATCTGCCAGTGGAAGGCCAGCTCCACATGCCTGTAAGGGTGACATTGACAGTAGATCCAAGCTCACGTCCCAGTTCCGTCAGAACAAGGTCGTCCCCCCCCCCACCTCCCCCACCTGGCCTGGTGCTGTTCTGGGAGGGGCCAGGAAAGGACCTAAGAACAGGAAGAGGCCAGGTCAGCCTTCAGACCCTTCCCATGGAGGAGCCCGGGGAAGGGATATCACGTGCGTCCAAGTTGTAGACCCCCTAAGAGAGCCCCCTCTCCCCACCCACAGCAGCTGAAGGTTAGGGCCACAGTGACTCGGGAAATGGCTAACACACGGAGTCACGCTCCAACCATTAAAATGCAGGGCTCTGGATGCCTCCAGATCTCCGGGAAGTGTTCTGCAGTGTCTCCTACCACATGGGAGTCGCCACATCAGTCTCTGCCCTGCCCTCCACCTCTCCAGCTATGGCCTCCCAGGACCACTCAGGCCAGAAAGACAGGTGCCCCTAGCTGCCAACAGGAGGGGGGACAACTCCATGGTAGTGGAGGAGCAGGACATCACTTGCACTCTGACGGCAGCTGTCAGGGGAGGACGGCAGTTGGGTGACAGAAGCCCATGTAAGGCCTGGCTGGGGTCACCTGGGCAGCCTGGCTGGGAGGTTCCCTGAGGTCTGTCCTGGTGCAACGGCAGAGCACCCAGAATGGTCAGGAGGTAAATGGCAGTGAGAACTGAATCCACGGGCCAGTCTGTCTGACCTTGGGACGTGACGGCTTCCCCTCCTGGGCAGGGCAGAACTCTCCGGAGCACTGTTCCCGGCCAAGGATGGTCCAGGATGAGCAGTGCTGTCCAGCATAACTTCCTGCGGCCGTGGGAATCTTCTAGATCTGCGCTGCCCGGTATGGTGGCCACTAGCTACATGTGTGGCTGTGAGCTCTTAAAATGTGGCTGGTGCCACTGAGGAAGTGAGTTTTGAATTTTATCTCATGTTAATTGATTTCCATTGAAACAGCCACATGTGTCTAGTGGCTACCATGATGGAAAGCAAATCCGGATGCTTCCATTCTGTGTCCCGACTACTCCCTGGCCCCCGGAAGGAACCTGCTGCCTCGCTGGGAACCCAGGGCCAGGTGAGGAAGGAGAAGGGGTGTGTGTTGGGGGCTATAGAGGGCTCACTCACGTAGCATTTCTAATAATCAGCTGTTTCCTAGCGGTGGACTGGAGGTTTTCAGGCTCAAAGCGTATGAAGTGCTGGGCTGTTAAGTCTGTGAGCTCTCCAGGCTCTGGCTGACTTTTCTCACCAGAAATATAGACCAGCTCCAAAGCAACCAGCTGTCCGATTCCTGACAAAATAGGGTAGAGAGGTTTCGCTAGAGCTGGAGTCAGGACTCTCTGGCCAACAGCTGTCACAAGACCCATGCTATCATCCACATGCAACCTGGTCAGGACCCCAGGAATCATACACAGGAGGAGAACTGGGGGCCATTAACACACAGATGCATGTCCCCACATCTTCACAGACCAAAAGGAGGTGATTCCGATAACCTGGCACACAGAGGGCACTCAATGCTTTCTGAGTGAAACTGGATGGATGGATGGATGGATGGATGGACGGAAGGATGGATAGAAAACAGATGATGGACGAACAGATAATGGACAGACAGATGGAAGGAAAGAAGAAAGGAAAAGGAGGAAGGTTGGCTAGAAGGAAGGAAGGATAGATGATG